CTTCCTTCTACAGAGGGCGCTTTGTCTACAGGTAAAAATTACTTTCAATTATGGTTGTCACTGTAGCTCATAGCAGAATCATCTAAAATAAAAAAAATCAAACATGATTTCAAAATAGATGATTTAATACAGGACCTAAACCTCGAAATACTTAAAAACATCAAAAATTAAGAAAATGGCAAGCTTTTGAATCTAAAAATCTGAAAAAACACAATTTGTTTAAATATAAATGATACACAAAAAGTGTAATTTTGAACATTAGTAGTAAATCAGAGGTTTAGGTCCTGTATTAAGTCGTCCATTTTGAAATAAAATTTGATTTTTTTATTTTAAACGATTCTGCTATGAGCTACAATGACAACCAGTAATTTTTACCAGTGGCCAAAGCGCCCTCTGTAGAAGGAAGATACTTTTGTTTTTCAAATTTGAAATTCTTTTTTTAAGACTTCCAACATACACAATGACATGTAAAAACTTTTGATCAATTATATTTTAAAACTTATGAGCAAACTTTTTTTTAAAAACTTCCGATTTTAATGCCTAAAAAAGTTACAAGACCCCTTATACGAATTTTTTTCTTTTTTGTAAATAAACAAATTCTTTTCATCTCAACAAAAAAACTACTTTTTAGTAAAAGAAACGAATAAATTTATTCTTTTCATTACAAAAAAATTGAAAATCCTTTTTGTAATAAAAAGAAAAAAAATGTTTTGCTACTGAAAAGGATGAAGCCCACGTCGAAAAATTCCATGTAAGTACCCCTGGAAATTCCATGGAAATTCTGCAAGTTTTTTATTTTAATATTATTTTAACATTCCTATTATTATTAGACTTTAATTACCATCGAATCTCCACGGTAATTCCATGGAATTTACAGAGTGTACTTCCATGGAATTTTTCGACGTAGGCGACTTGCGTTGTTTTTCAAGACAAATTTTTTTTGAATCGGAAAAATTCTAAAAAAAAAAAAATTCTAAAAAATTTCTGAGTACCTCCCTGTTTCCAAAAAAAATCTTCTTTAATAAAAACTGCACCAATTTAAGGAAAAAAGCCCAAATTTTGATAATTGCCTCCAAAAATTGATAAAACAAAATTTTTAAGACAAGTTAATTGTTAATTTTTGCTTTTCAGGACAAAAATTTGGTCTGAATCGGAAGTAAATTCTAAAAAAAGTTCTAAATACCTCTGTGTTTCGGAAAAAGATCTTCTTTAATAAAAAAGCACCAATTTGTGGAAAAAAGCCAAAATTTGATAATCGACTCCAAAAATAAAATAAGCTCAAATTTGAGAAAAAAGCTCCAATTTGAGGAAAAAAGCTCAAATATGATAAGTGCCTCCAAAAATTGTTAAAAACTATTGTCAAGACCTGCGTGGATTTTTAAGATACAAATTTTTTATGATTATTAAATCGTAATAAATTAATATTTTTCTATTATTAAAATAAAAAACTTGCTGAATTTCCATGAAATTTCCAGGGGGTACTTCCATGGAATTTTTCGACGTGGGCGTTCATAAAATAAAATAAATTTTTACTTTATTGCAAAAAAAAAATTAAAATTCCCTTTTTTAATAAAAAGAAACAAAAATGTTTTACTAGCACTAAAAAAAAAGTGAAGTCCATAAAAACAAAATTGACCTGATTTACATAGAAAATGAATTTTTCAAAACGCACGATTTAATCCGGACGTGGAAATTGAAATGGAAAGCTGTCAGGAAATTAATTCCTCCTGTAATAAGGAAGCGAAAATGTATCTTGGCAGGGCCACCACCTGTGTAATATGTATAACTTTCACTCTTTATGCATTGCCACATAAAAAAACCACATAAAAAAAATCCAAATTTTCTTCTCCAAATCTCATAAACTGTTAATTTGGTAAAAAAAATCATTTTTTTAAAAAGGAAGACTTAAGATTATATTTCTGCTTCTCACGTCAATCAAATATTTGCTTTTGAATTAACCCTTTTGTTTCGAAAAACATTATTCTATAAATTAAAGAAAAAAAAAGAAATGAGAACATTTTTCCTACAAACTACCGAGGTAGAAATTTAAATTCTGTAATGACCAGTCACTAGGAAATTTTTCTAGATTCTGGCCAGTGACTGACCAGAAAATCTGGCAAGTGATTGATTAGAAATGTAACGTGCTGCTTTAGCAGTCACTGGTTAGATTATCTGGCCAGTGACTGGCAAGTAACTGACCAGTAACTGGACAGTTTTCTGCTCAAAATCTGGAATAAAATATAATTTTTCCTGGCGCTTTGTATTTTGTTTATAATTACATATTTATTTATACTTTTGTGTTTATTCAAATATTTAAGACTAATGAACAATTACTCTACCAATAACACTTATATCTAAGAATGAAAAATTCGCACGCATGGGGGATCAAACCCCAGACCCTGGAGACACAACGCATGTTCGTTACCACTCAGCCACGGTGACTAGATAGTAACTTATCATAACTACAAGTTTGAGAACTGAAGTTCTATTCCGATTGTGACCAGAATTTCTGGCCAGTGACTTGTCGGAAGTAAAATGATCAGTAATCATGACCAGATAAACTGTTTAGTTACTTGTCAGAGACTTGACGGCTTATCTTGTCAAAATTTAGAAAAATGTAAACTTTGGTAACGTGACAGTGAAACGATCATAGCTTTTAAATAAAAATTACAAAAAATTTTATATTAATTAGTAGAGAATCATATTTTTAAAAGCATGAATAAAAGTATGTGCATCTTATCTAAAATTATGAAAGTTTTAAAAAGACTGTTACTTTAGATTTTCTGTTTTTGACCGTATGGAACATAAAAATTATTTGTAATATCTAATTATAAATGATTGACTAAGAGTGTAGGGGAGATTGGGGAATTGTGGGCCACCTTCATTATTTAATAATATTTACAAGTTTGATCATGCAATTTTTTTTACTTTCTTTTTTCGTCCAAAGTAAATTTTTCATTAGCATTTCATGACTTTACAACGCTTTACAATTACCTACAAACCGATAACAAAAATCACCTAAAAAATTGCATTCAAATATTTATTTTGGGCTTTCATGTTTTTATTGTTTTTACCAGGATTTTCAAGAATTAATTATGGAAAATATTTTTTTTAATAAATTAAGTTTTTAATTTTTTTTAATTATTGTGTGTCATTGGTACTTTGACTCCAAAAACAAAATTTTGCATTAAATTAAAATGAATAAATAATACAAAGCTTTTTGTAAAATGAAGCATTTGGGGAATTGTGGGATACTTTTTATGGGAAGTATTTGTTGCTTGTTTTTAGCAATTTAATTGGAAATATTATTAAAATCACTCATAGTTATAGTAATTTAACGAAAACAATTATATTCATTGAGATTTAAGCGATAGAGCTGTTTACTTAAAATGTGTAATTAATTGAGCTTATTTTATTTGTCTAAATTGTGATTCCGATTAATTTCATTTTTTTACTGTTTGTTTTCTAATTTTAAACTAATAATTAAACATTCATAACATTTTTAATATTTCTAACCATTTAATAAATATATTTAATCGTTATTTTTTTTAACTCAATTTAGTCAGTCGGCCACAATTCCACAACATTTTTAAAATTCATAAAAGTGCACTCTTTGGTAAAACTGAAATTTCTTTTAGATAAGTGATAATTTTGGTAAACTGATTATGATATATGATAGTTTAGACCTCCTACTGACACGAAAAATTTTAAAATTTTTAAAAAAATTTTCTTGTGTAAGATATTGCAAAAGAAAGTCTTATTTTAAGGCAGGAAAGCAGCCTTAAATTAAGATGCAACATTTTTAAGGCAGTGAATGCTGAATTTACGCACGTATTTTGTATCGTTTAACATTATAGCAGACGGTGCTGAATTTAAGACCGATTTCAAATTAAGATTTACTTTTTACTGTGTGAGCTAAGAAAAAGTGTGGCCCACAATACCCCAATCTCCCCTATTTTTATGGGACTGGTGCTTTGTTTTTTTCCTTAGTGTCAAGATTTTCTAGCTAGAGATTTGGATACATCTAGAATAATTCTTTTAATAGGATTCGGCAAGTTATTCTGATCAGTGGTGGACCAGTTTTTCTAGGTAAAATCTTAAATAATTCTTCAAATCAGTAACTGGCCAGTGTCTGGAAAGAAATTCTTATCACGATTATGATCAGATTTTTTGGTCAGTGACTTGACAAAAGTACTGTTCACAAAGAGGAATTGTTTTTATCCAGTGAAACTGGCCAGTCACTTAATCAGGACTGGCCAGATTGCCTTGGCCAGTATAACTCGCTCTCGACTCTACAGCTACTGGAAGGAAACAAGTAGTACTTGACAAATTTCTACCTGGGTTGTGCTGGTGTCGATGTCGAAGATAAAGATGCAACCTTTACTTGTGAAATTTGTCGACTGAAATAGGTTGCTTTCTTGAGTACCTCATCTTACCCCTTAGGGTACCCCATCTTGCCCGCCTGTGGGGCAAAATGGGGAGATTTGCAATTTTTTCCATATTCTTAATTTTATGCTTTTTTAAGAAACAGATGGCCTTTGTACGCCTTTATTACGAAAGACTGATTCCCAAAGATGGTTATTAAATAAAATAATAAAATATACATTCGATCATTTTCGTTTTTTTTGCGATTTAAACCTTAAGTACCCCGTCTTGCCCCACTCTCCCCTATTTATGAAAACGGTATTGTGAAAGATATGAAGGAAAAGATAAAAAATATGCGAGGGGCTGTTCACTCTCGAATACAAGATTCGTAAGGGAACGATTATTTACGAATACAAAGAAATCCGTTGGAGAATCCGCCCGAATTTTAAGAAATCATAAGGATTCGCCTTTTACGAATCCAAGCGATTTCATGTGAATCCAAGATTCAGAGAATTCGTCACCTACGATTCCAGTCGATTTCATGTGAATCCATGCAAATAATAATAAATTTTCAAATTATTGTTGAATTGGATTCTGACTGATCAGCTCCTCGAAAATATGAAAATAAAAATTACCTGTTGGAAATCGTGCGAAGTCCAGGACGTTTGACGAATGCGAGAAGGAGAGTGGCATTTAATATGAGGGAACCGAAGAGGACAAAGCTCCAGATTGCAATTCTGGAGTTGGTCCTCCATCCTTCCAAATTTTCCAGATTCCGGCCGATTCCACCCAACTTCTCCGTCGAACCTCCATCCATTCATAAATAATTCCACAATTCTGAAAGAAAAAGCGAAAAAATAATATAACATTTTTATTTAACTTTTTCATATACCAATTTTCCTTCAAATAAATAAGGGAAAGGCTTGCAGGTTGTCCCACTTCCGTTACCCAGTGGGCACACTTGTTCAAAAGACGTCCTAAGGATGTCTGTTTGCGGACGTCTTTTGGACTTGTACAAAAAGACGTCTTTAAGACGTCCTATATATGTTCTATGTCTTGGACATTAGATGTCTTTAAGATGTCTGAAAGACGTCTTTTTCATTCAACATTTGAAAATAGAAAAATTTTCATAAATAGAATTTGCGATCTACTAAGGTTATATGGGATGAACAAATGATCCCACAGAAGGGGAATAGGGTTTGCAGATGACATAGTCATCTATACATTACATAAATGTTTATTTGAGGCACGAGTCGACCTGCAAAAGTTGATGCATAACGTATGCAACTACTTTTCAGCGTGGAAACTCAAATGCAATTATAGTAAGTGCGAAACTATTCTCTTTAGACCTTTGATAGATGACATAAATAAAAAATATAAAAGAGTATGGCGAGAATTTGCAATTCAGGCTTCAGAAGAGGAAAACATGTTTATTGAACACAAAAGAACAGTTAAATACTTGGGACTTCACATAGATGACAGACTCAAGTATAACGATCATGTGTCAATAACTCTTGATGCGGCAAGAAAAGCTTTCTTCAAACATAAGAGAATGTTTTTGTCTTCGAAACTGAATGCCAGAGTGAAAATCATTTGCTATCTGCTGCTTATCCGACCTATCCTGACCTATGGGTGTCAGATATGGTTCGGTATATCCCCCTCCTCTATGGAAAGGATAAGGAAATTAGAGAGATCCTGTTTACGTACATGTCTCGGTGTGTACAAAGATCCTGGTACAAACTTTGAGAGGAATGTTTCCAACGCGAAGCTATACGATATGGCAGGGATCCCAAGGGTGGATGTGTTTATTTTGAAACTCATTAGCAATCACATAGCGAAGGCTTCAAGAAGCACAGCGAATCCTCTCATATCGTTGCCCTATGCGAAGGATAACGGGTCACTTCGGGGCTTGTTAGATTCGGGTAATCTGTCGCCCGAGACTTTCATGTTCTTAGATAAATATGGATATGTTCAGGACTCAAGAAATACTCCGATATTGTATCATGTCTTGAGACACTCACGGGATAGAGTCATTAAATTTAACTCGGATGATTTGCTGGTGAAACCGGAAATCAAACTGCGCTTCTCCCAAGAAATGCAAAATAAAGATAGAATCAAAAACTATAGAATAAACAAACATAAATATTGGTGGCTAAAAAGCGCCCCGTTTTAATTGGTTGAGTATGGGATGTACATTCCATAAGCTTGCTAAATTTACAGAAATAAATATATATGAATTGTATAAATGTTAAAAATTTCTGAAAACATAAAGTCCTGCATAGAAACATGTAAAAGAAATATGTATATGTATATTTTATTATTTACATTTTAATATAAAAAAAATTAGTTAACGTTAACTAAAATAAAGAAAAAGAACAAATATATTTATATATATTTTCACTTTAACTCTGTTTTCTTTTCTCTCTCTTTTTAAACCAACCCTAATAATGTACACCGTAGAATTCCCCTTTATCAACAGATAAAAATCAAATAAAGCAAAAAATTCAGTTTTTACCATTTTCTTTTTTAAATTTTTCTGAATTATAATTGTATTTATAAAAATAATCTTAAAACAATAGGTTATAAAGAACGAATGTGATGTATGAATAATGAGATTAATAAAAGATAAAATTCGACGAGATGGCCATGTTAGCCCGCATCGATATCTAATATAAAAAATATATATATATTTACACGATTTTTGTTCATTTGTTGTCGTTTGTTGTACTATATATATATGCATTGTTTAAATAAATGATCTTTTAAAAAAAAAAAGGTGCTTAAGGCGCAGTGCTTCAAGCCCAAGGTATCCGAGTTCGATCCCAGCTTCGTAGGAATTTTTTTATTATTTCTCCACTTTTTAGAAAAAATAAAATTTAACTTATAATAAATTTAACACAATATTACTGAGTTTCAACTTAGAAAATGTTATAAAAGAAATGTCTATTTAAGATCTGAAGAAATGTAAGAAGGACGTCCAAAAGACGTCCCTTTTATGTCTTTTAAGCGTCCAAAAGACGTCTTTAAGACGTACTTTAGAAGTCCTTTCTTATGTCCTTTAGACGTCTTTTGGACGTCTTTTGGACCAGACATAGAACGTATTTTAGTTGTCTTTTTGATGACTCAGAGACATTACCATCATTGTCCTCGAATTGTCCGCGGACAAAAAGGGACGTCCCTGTGCCCACTGGGTATTTTTTATTCTAAAAGTGCCATAATTTAAAACGCGAATGATATTGTTGTCAAATGATTAGTTATTACTTTTAATGCTCTTTTGGAGCAAATAAAAAGAAGCAATAAAAATGTTCTTGTTAAACAAATTCTGAAATTAACTTGTGGAAAAATTGAAAAATTAAAATTGTGACATTTTCATGTGCTAACAAATGAAATATTTTATAGATAATTTAAGTTACACTTTTTTTCTGAGTTGTTTTTTTAATCAATTTTGATAATCCAAAAGGAATTGTTAAAATATCATAAATTAATATTTTTTTCATCGATTTAAAAATAGAGTTCAAAATTGCAGGTTGACTCACTTTACGGTTTGCAGGTCTGAAACCCATTGGGAAATTGCCAATGGTCACCATTATTTAGCAATAATGGATCAATATTGGCTGCCAGCAGTTTTTTCTTGCACGCCTCTAGTTTTTACTTTGGGCAGTAGAAGTGTGTTAATTGTGCTGTGGTTGTTTTGGTTATTGTTTTGAATAATCTCCTCTCCTGAGTTAGATTTTTTCTCAAGTGGACCTTAAATTTTCAAAAGTTGAAATTTATCAGTGTAAATGTGCAAAAAGATAGTTCTATTAGAGTAACGAATAACCTGTAAATTTCATTAAAAAATATTCAATTGTTTATTTTTTATAAACAATTTATAAATTATATTATAAATAAAAACTTAAAAAGAATTTATTAAGGATTGCGTATCAAAAAGAAAAATTGTTTCAAGCAAATATTTTATTAATTATGAATTTTTTTGTAAGCGCGCGCAAGCTCCGTGATGTGGGCTCCCGCGTCTGACGAATGTCGTGTGCCCCGCTGTGCACGCTTTAAGGGGTTATATACAGTCACGATTTTCAAAAAATCGATTATTTTTTTTGCATTTTCTTAAAGTATATATATTTGCCTGTTGTGAAAAAAAATTTTATTGAGATTCGAGAATTATTTTCGAAGTTGCAGACAAAACTAGAAAGGCGCGCCATGGGGTGTAGAGCAGGTGCAGCGTCTTTAAACTCGCTTTTCTCAAAACTATGTTTTCCAAGTCGGTGAACACGATTTCTCAAAAACCGCTGAACCGATTTAGCTCTCATTTTCACACAAGCTCAACAACTACTTTTTGCTGTCCGTGATCGTTGGTTTTTTTAATAAAATTATAATTTTAATCAAGGGTCAGAATTTCTCAAACGGATCACCTAAAACTAAAAAATTATCTTTTTGAAATAAAACAGTTTTTTTGGCGCTTAATATGGCTAAGAAGAATCCCTAAAAATATAAAGCCAAAAAAAAATTTTTTGTAAAAGTTATTAAGAATTGAATTTTTTAGTGCTGCTAAATTAACAAATTTTTTTCTCGATTTCCAGTTGACGGATTTTAAAATTAAAATATGGGTTTTTTTTAGGTTTTTTTCTTGAATTGCACTATTTGAATATAATTTTTGTTTTTTAATTTTTTTATTTTTTATAATTTTTGCATCCTCATAAAGGAAGCTTTGTATTAGCAAAATATTGGATTGTCATTTTTTGACATATTTATAAATTTTTTTTTATTATGCCTAATACTTTAGTACTTTTTATATGCACAGGAACTCCCCGTATAAATGTTCTAAATAAATAAAAAAAAATTTCGACGTATTTCGACCTCCGAAGTCCAAAAAACGGATTTTAAAAATTTGTCCCGATGTGTGTATGTGTGTACTAACATTACATTTGCCTCAATATCTCAGAACGAGAAAGAGCTAAAGGCCTCAATTTTTTTTTAAATTGTAGGTCTCCCCGGGGGACATAAAATGAGAGTATTTTCAGCCCGATTCATGAAGTTTAACTATTTTTTTTTTGCATTTTTCATTTAGTAAAAAAACGTTTTTTGGACATAACTTAAAAAAATGTTAGGACACTTATAAATCTTTTTCTTTAGTTTTGTAGAGTTTTTTTACATGCATCTTTTGAGCCCTAATTGAACATTTTTCGTCCATATTAACCGGAGATATTAAACTTTTAAAAATCAAAAATTTTGGAAAATAAGACTTTTTTGAAAATTTTGTTGAAAAATGTAGAATTTTAGTTTTGTTTTGTATTTGGTTTTGTAGAGTTTTTTCAGACGCATCTTTTGAGCCCTAATTGAACATTTTTCGTCCATATTAACCAGAGATATTAAACTTTTAAAAATCTAAAATTTTGAAAAATAAGACTTTTATACAAATTTTTTTAAATTATGTAAAAGTAACTTCAAAAAATTATTACCAACTTGAAAAGCATTAAAAAACGCTTCGATGGACCTATTTTTTTAACCTGATTGGGGCAGACATTATGAAATTATTGGTATTTGAAAAATCAAAAATTGTGGAAAATATCATTTTTTCAACATTCTTGTTTATTAACTTATGTGTAATTATTAAACTATTATTACCATTTTATAGAATATATAAAAACACATTTTTTGGACCAAGATTTAATGATTTTTAACCCTTTTATAAAAAGTAATTCTTATATTTCAGTTTTTATTATTTCTATGAGGAAGCAAAGTGTTCATGAAATGAACACCAAAATTATAAAAATGTACAACTTGGCAGCGGTTTTTATATAATTTGTTCATAAATTGTTAATAAACAAATATGTTCTTCACGTCCTAACAAAAAAATTAAAATTGTATTTTATTCCTTAAATGTAAATTCCTTAAAAGTGTTTTGTTCCTTAACTGCAGCTGTGTAGAGCTTTACATGACGTTAAACTCGCCCCGCGCACATTCGCATTTTTAGAAAAAATCATGTTTATTTTTTCATTGCAGATGATTGGAATCAATTCAAATTAGTCCATCATGACCACCAGACAAATAATAATAATTGTTGCAAACAATTTTAATTAACAAATAGATAACTTTGGATCTTTTTATAAAAAAAAAATTTTTTTGCAGACAAATTTATGTTTATTTAAGTAATCTATGTCGATTTTAGTAAAAAATGATTTTAAATTTAAAAATTATTATTGTTATTGACAATTATTATGAACTATAATCAAGTTTCTTTAACATTTGTAAACATTTTAGGCATTTTTTGAACATAAATTGTTTATAAAATATGTTCATTCTTTCAAAAACTTTAAAAATTTATTAGCACAAACAATTACATTTGCCGTAAACAAATTATTTACTTTTTAAACAAATAAATGGCTTATTTCTGCAAAAATAAAAATTCTTTTTCCTATTTTAACGAGTTTAAAGTCATGTAAAGCTCTACTTGATTATTGATAACTATATTATTATTCATATGATTGTTAATAACAATGGTAATTATTAAATTGAATATTATTTATTTGTTAAGTAAAATTGTTTGCAACAATTTACACTACCGTCGGGAATTATCGGTACGGCTGCACACGCACGGGCCAAAAACCTATTAATCTTTAAATCACGATTTTTTTGTAAATACAAATGTCAGAAAATTAACAAATATACCATTCGAAAGATTGTTAAATTCTACGATTAATGATACATAACTGAAAAATTTAATAATTTATACAAAGATTGCAGCAATCGACAAATTTGACAAAAAAATTTAAAAATAAAATTTTTTTGGAAATTTTTTCAACCCCTGCACATTTTTTAAAAATTGTAGAACAAATTTGAAACTTACATAAGTGTGATCATTCAAGTCTCATCTTTAATTTAAGACCAAAAGAGTTCAAAAATCTTAATCGGTTAGCGAGATATCGTTATAAACGGCCGAGCATTTTCAGCCAAAAATCGTTCAAAATCAACTAATTCAATGCATTTGTCAAAAAACATGCTCGGACGTTTATAATGTTAAAGAAACTTGATTATAGTGTTCATAATAATTGTCAATAACAATAATGATTTTTAAATTTAAAATCATTTTTTACTAAAATCGACATAGATTACTTAAATACACATGTCTCCAAAAAAAATTTTTTTTTATAAAAAGGATCCAAAGTTATCTATTTGTTAATTAACATTGTTTGCAACAATTTAAATAAATTGTATTAAACATTATTATTTGTCTGGTGGTCATATGCTGGACTAATTTGAATTGATTCCAATCATCTGCAATGAAAAAATAAAAAAATAAACATGATTTTTTCTAAAAATATTGTAAATTGTTAAGTTTAAGTAACAAAAAAAATATAAACAATTTAAAATTCAAAAATTGGTTTAGTGGGATCTCTTAGAAATTTTATTCCCTTTAATTTAAGACCAAGCCCATGAAAATCCGATAAAATTTGTAGGTTACAGACAATTTTTAACAGTAAATTGTAAAAAATGCCAATGTGCGCGGGGCGAGTTCAACGTCATGTAAAGTTCTACACAGCTGCAGTTTTTAATTAATAACTTTTTTTCTAATTGAGGCTAATTTTTTGTCAAAACGGTTTTAAACTCGGAGACATTTAAGGAATAGAATACAATAATTTTAATTTTTTTGTTAGGACGTGAAGAACATATTTGTTTATTAACATTTTATGAACAAATTATATAAAAAATTATAAAAAAATAAAAAAACAAAAAATATATTCAAATAGTGCAATTCAAGGCGAAAAAAACCCATATTTTAATTTTAAAATCCGTCAACTGGAACTCGAGAAAAAAATTTGTTAATTTAGCAGTACTAAAAAATTCAATTGTTAAAAACTTTTACAAAAATTTTTTTTTTGGCTTAATATTTTTAGGGATTCTTCTTATCCATATTAAGCGCCAAAAAAAACTGTTTTGGTTCAAGAAGATAATTTTTTAGTTTTAGGTGATCCGTTTGAGAAATTCTGACCCTCAACCGATTTCATTTTTCGATGGCTTGTTTAAAAGATCATTTAATTGCGCAACTTTTTTCCAGAGACACATATACTTTATCTTTTATTGTTTAGTTGCTGTGTTAACTTTAAAAAATTTTGCAAACGGTCCGGTTTGCCCCACCCCCTGAGGTAAACTGGACCCCCCCCAGGCAAACCGGACCGTTTGGTTTTTTATTTATAATATTGCATTTACATAATATACAATAATAAAAAACATAAAGAATCATGTAAACAATGGTTGTAGTAATGAAAATAATAATACGGGATTGAATTTTAATTAAATAAATATTGTTTTTAATAAAAAAAAAAAAATGTTTGTCATTATCAGAGAAACAATATTAAAGGGTCCAATTCTCATTGGAAGACAATTATTTTTCATTGTAAGTAAAAATTTTAATGAAAGAAACATTTTATTTAAAAATAATTTTTATGAAACTTTAGTTCAATGGAAATATCCTATGGCCGGTTTGCCCCACCGAAAACGGTCCGGTTTCCCCCACAGGCCCATTTTGAGAATAGGGGAGAGTGGGGCAAAGGCGCTAGGTTTACATTTATCGATGTATATTTTTTAAATTAAGCAATTAATTTATGCTGTCTTTGTTTTTCATTATTCTAAAACTAATCAACAAGAAATTTTAATAGTTGTTATTTAGCCCTTAAACCGCACACTTCCGAATCCATCCTTAAACCGCACACTGGGTGTGCGACACCCGGGGACTTTAAAGTGTATTCTCC